TTCCAGCAATGATGGTGATGAGAGAACTCATCAAGCACACCGAGGAAATGGAATTTTTAAAGAGCTAGAACATTCCAGAGCCTTTCTGAGGAGACCTCTGGCAATCCTGCTGACGTCCTGGAAGCAGGGCATGTTACTTCGCTGTTTCTTCCACAGTATCACGCAGAGCAGCATGCAAACACACCAGGCGTGCTGGTCGAGGCGCGAGCCTCCAGATGAAGTGGCTTCCTCGTGTAAATAATGCCCCTATTTATTCAGGGCCCCACCTAACCCAGGAGTCTTGTTTTCAGTTCCCTAGGCCTCAGCCATATTTGACGAGTCCTAACTCCCTAAAACACCTGTCTTTTGAGCAGTTGTATTTTGGAGGACATATTAACCAAAAGGTGCCTTGGCATCCTGTTAAGTAAAATGAATAATCTCGATTCCATGGGAGTCGAACAAAAAGAAAGTAAATAGACACTGCAGGAAAGACTGTGGAATGTGGCCCCGCTGGAAATCTCGGAAAGCTGTCTCCCCAGGGGGAAGAGACTGAGGAGGGGCTGCGAGCAGATGTCCTGCAAGGCCCTGACTGACTAGGAATGCTTAGGTGACACCATACTGACGTCCAAGACAACACAGCGAGCAAGCCCTAGCTTTGTGAACTTCATCCCAGTGGCCGGGGACTCTCTCCTCAGACAGATGTCCGCTCTGGCATAGGTCCTCTAACTTTTGGCACGGTCTTGTGATAGGGCTGGCCCTGCATTCCCTCTGTAGCAAGGATGAATCTATTTCCTGATTCTCTTAGGCAAGCACTCTACCAGCTGAGGTACATTCCCAGACTCTAATTTGTTACCTACGGCTCTGTTGCTCTTTGGCCTTTATTTTGAATTTCCCATACCGTTGGTCTTTTAGAAAGTCTCAGGCATCATTCTGTGTTTCTCCTAGGGATTAGCTTGGAGTTCTTGTTGTCTCTGAAGGAGCATGTGTGTGCATGAGGAGGTTGACCCCAGAGATCTAAACATGCTAGGCAACAGCGCTACTTCTAAGCCTACACCCTCAACCCTTGAACATTTTTGTTTTGTTTTCAGTTAGGATCTGGCTATTGTGTAGCACAGGCTGGCCCTGAATCCTTTGCTTTAGTCTTCCAAGGGTTAGCACTATAGGTTTGTAACCCAAGACCCAAGCTTGGTGGCCCTTGTCTAAACTTTCAGCGCTCAGAAGGCTAGAGCAAGAGGGTCATGGAAAGTTCAAGACCAGCCTGGGCTACATCATGAGTTCTACACCAGCCTGGACACAGAGTGAGAGTGAGATACGGTCTCAGAGAAAAAGCAAAAAGAAAGTTATGTTCCTCCCTTGAAATGGACAAAGGGGCTCAGGACTTCCGGAACTAGCCCTTGACGATTTGTCTTGAAAATCTTAGCTGCTCTTGGTGCTTCCCACTGGAATTCATATCTTTATGTCTTGGTTCTACAGCTGAAACAGACGTTTTAATTTTTAAAGTTTATTACACAAGTCTGAATACATGGAGGCTGTGCAGAGGACAATTTGTGGGTGTTCTACCATGTGGGTGGGTCACAGGGCTCAAGCCCAGGTTGTCAGGCTCGGCAGCAAGCACTTTCACAGGCTAAGCAGCCTCACTGGCTCCCGGTGAGCCCTTTACATGTAAAACATAATCGCCCTCATCAGGCCTAGCTCCTGTGCCTCCCTCTTCCTTCCTCCAGGGTCTGTACGCTTTACAGGCCAAGTCACAGATGTTCATCAAACTAAAGAAGAGAAACTCTTAACCTGCTTCTGGGGTGGAGTTACCTGTCCGCTGGGATCATGAAATACAAGGGCTGGGCTGCGGTGTTCCAGGGAGAACGCTTACTTAGCATCCAGGAAGCCCTGGGTCTGACCTGTAGCGTTCCATAATGAGGTATGGAATCATATGCCTGGAATCCCAGGACTAGAGAGATGGAGACAAGAGGCTCGGAGGCTCCAGGTCATCCAGTTTGTGACCAGCTTGGCCTATGTGGGACCCTGTTAAATGGGAACAAACATCCATACCCTGGGTGCACACCTTTAATCCCAGCACTCAAGAGGCAGAGGCAGGCAGATCTATGAGTTCGAGGCCAGCCTGGTCTATAGGAGCTAGTTCCAGGACAGGTTCCAAAGCTACAGAGAAACCTTGTCTCGAAAAGCAAACAAACAAACAAAAAACAAACCAAAAAAGAGGGGAAAAAAATCTCTGCCCATCCCCTGAAAGAAAGAAAATACAAAAAAAAAAAAAAAGATTATGTGTTTGATTTTCTAAAAGCTTCCACAGATGCCACACAAGCCCTGCAGTAGTACAGTAACCGCCTGCTATGCGTGCAGCCGGCCCCTGGAATAGGGTTTGGACAGGTGCAAAAGCCACAACCCAGAAGAACGCTGCTCCCTTCGTGCCCTTCCGTAGGCAGGCGAGAGTGATATGTTTTCAGATGAGGTCACATAGCCCAAACAAGCCCCAAATTCACTGTAGCCCAGGATATCCTTTCAGTAGTGTGCTGTGTATGTAAGGAGTGCACCACTGACTGTGTGTGCGCGTGAGAGAAGGGCACCACTGACTGTGTGTGTGTGTGCGCGCGCGCACACGTGCGAGGAGGGCACCACTGACTGTGAGTGTGCACGAGGAGGGCACCACT